GAACATCGAGCTGTCCTTCAAGGTTTGTCTGAAAGGGGAGCCACCGGTTATGTCTAACAGTTGTAGTAACGCTGACCTGAACACATATAGGTGTTTCGTTAAAGCCACAGGGTCCAACTCCAACATTAACCTGACACTTTATGTTACGCCTCCATAATGCTGTAACAGCGATCTCACACGAGAACACACAAACAGACAGATGGCAACTACTGGGTGGTAGATATGTAGGTGTTGCATGCTTGGTTTCAACCTTTAGAAGTTAACTTTGTGACATTATTTCTGTCCCTTGGCATCTGTGGATGTGTAACGGAAATACTAATAACTGTGTATATAGAGCTGGGTTAATTTGTTTTCGAAGATGCCTAGCGGTTAGAACAATCGAAAAAAAAATACATTATCAGACAATAAAGGTATAGTTTTTTGATGACGTAACAATTGAATGACGTTATACCGTCACTGCGCCATTCTAGTGTGCCCCCTCGTAATCGAACCATTTTACATTACGTCACAATGTAAGCGACGTCACGATGCATGTCAGTTGTCATCGCCTCGTACGGCCTCCTACAGTAAACTACTCCGTTGCATCCCGTTTCTTGGTTTGCTGTTGCTTCACGCAGCTAACATCACTGGTGGAAACATTACGTTTATGTTTTACGACGGTTAAAATGTGTCAATTCGACTCACAAGTTTTCAGCGACACGGTTACGTTCGCAATGTTTACATTCCCACAATGCAATCGTGGAATGTCGCTTGACTACTCAGCTTCATCTGGATGTACTGATCTAAACTTACGTTGGTAGTAGAAATGCGACGTTCATATTGCCCCATATGGTTTACATTAATGACAGATGTAATTAAAATAATTCAGAGAAGATATTTAATCCGAACGTAAACCGTCATCAAACTGTTATCATTTGTTTTTTTCTGGTAACGTTCGTCTTAACGTAGGGGGCAGCCACATCAATAGAACAGCGCACCAGTTAGCCCTGTGCGAGGATTCTTAATTTAGGTCGCCGACACCGTCATTTGTTTTCTGCCTTAAATTAATTGTAATTATCCTTAGAAAGTATTAAATTTAGCATCTTAGAAAAGATGTAAAGTTCGCTCTACCCCAATGTGTTTTGTAATAAAGTATAGTTTTGCCCTGAACTATTATAACATCAAAGCACTCGGACTACCGTCCTCGTGCTTTAATTATAATAGTTCAGGGCAAAACTATATTTATGACAAAACACATTGGGGTAGAGCGAACTTTATTTCTTAAACATTATATGTTACTAACCTTCGCTGGATGCTGCTTGCATTACGTCACCAATGTTCTCATCTCTGTCTGTGGAGCAGGTGTGGATGTATAACGGAAATACTAATAACTGTGTATATAGAGCTGGGGTAATTTGTTACATTATATGTTACTAACCTTCGCTGGATGCTGCTTGCATTACGTCACCAATGTTCTCATCTCTGTCTGTGGAGCAGGTGTGGATGTATAACGGAAATACTAATAACTGTGTATATAGAGCTGGGGTAATGTGTTACATTATATGTTACTAACCTTCGCTGGATGCTGCTTGCATTACGTCACCAATGTTCTCAATCGAGCTTGCGGGTTGGCCCTTCGCGGGGCCTTCTTCCGCGTCGTTTGGTAAGCAACGGCCAACTCAGAACTGGCACGGACCAGGGAATCCGACTGTCTAATTAAAAACACACACACACACACACACACACACACACACATACATACATACATGTATATAGAGCTGGGGTAATTTGTTACATTATATGTTACTAACCTTCGCTGGATGCTGCTTGCATTACGTCACCAATGTTCTCATCTCTGTCTGTGGAGCAGGTGTGGATGTGTAACGGAAATACTAATAACTGTGTATATAGAGCTTGGTTAATTTGTTACATTATATGTTACTAACCATCGCTGAATGCTGCTTGCATTACGTCACCAATGTTCTTATCTCTGTCTGTGGAGCAGGTGTGGATGTGTAACGGAAATACTAATAACTGTGTATATAGAGCTGGGGTAATTTGTTACATTATATGTTACTAACCTTCGCTGGATGCTGCTTGCATTACGTCACCAATGTTCTCATCTCTGTCTGTGGAGCAGGTGTGGATGTATAACGGAAATACTAATAACTGTGTATATAGAGCTGGGGTAATTTGTTACATTATATGTTACTAACCTTCGCTGAATGCTGCTTGCATTACGTCACCAATGTTCTCATCTCTGTCTGTGGAGCAGGTGTGGATGTGTAACGGCAGCGTGGAGCTGGTGCCCTGCTCACATGTAGGTCACATCTTCCACCACAACAACCGCATCCACTGGCCCATCCCTGGCACTGTGAGGAGGAACGCTGCACGAGTGGCCGAGGTGTGGATGGATGACTACAAGAAGTTCTTCTACGAGACTACTGGATCTGACAAGGTTAGTGACAGAAAGAAACATTGGATTCTGAGATAGGTACAAATAACGAGGTCAGGAGCAGGTAGAAATAACGAGAAAAGTTGGCGACAGAAATACTGAGGTCAGTGACAGGTATAAATACTGAGAATATTGGTGACATTTACAATACTGAGATGTTTGTTGAATGGTAGAAATTATGAGGTTATCAGCAGGCAGTAATGCTGAGGTCAGTAACAGACAGAAATACTGAGAATATTGGAGTTAGTTTGAAACAGTGATAATAGTGAAAACAGCAGTGTATATTCAGTGTTCCTGGTTCACAACATCACTATTACACCATTGAGGTCCTGTTCCAGGTGGTTTTCTAAGACGGTTATATACCCCATCTGTTACATGTGCAGACAAGACACATACACCCCGTCCCAAGGGCCTACAGACGTGTAGGATTCAAAGTAGGATTCATCAGTACCACGTAGGCTGCAAATATCTGTCGAGTAGAACCTGTCCAAGGTACTCGGGGTTTTCTTGTATGTAATCATTCGTCCCCAGGTTGTTGTTGGAGATATCTCGGAAAGACAAGAACTACGTCGGAGTCTACACTGCCACGACTTTGAATGGTACTTGAAGAACGTGCTCCCGGAGCTACTAGTGCCCACAGACTGTCTGACTGTAGGAGAGGTATGGCACCTGTATGTTCACAGTCAGTGTAAGTCTCAGTCCATTCTGTAGACCGAGGGACTACACAGGGGTTGGTAAATCTTGACGATGTAGTGGTAGGAGGCGCTCGCTTTCTGATGATCCAAGCGAACAAACGAAGAAACGTTGGAAGTTACTTTGCATCATAACTGTTTCATCAACGAACGTATTTACATCAAGCACCATGACAAACTCTGTACGTTCATGCTACTGTGATTGGTGTTCAGCTTTCTGTTAGAAGTCCTGTTATCGCAGGTTTATTTATATTTCTAGATTCGGAACGCTGCCTACAATAACTGTTTAGACTCGATGGGGCGACAGTCCCATGTGCCGAGCATGTACACGTGCGGAGGAAAGGGATACAACCAGGTAGGGTCACGTCGTCATATGTGCTAACATATCGTTAGTGACAACATATACCCTGATGCCAGTTTTTGGCGTTACAAGCCTCTGTATATGACGGTCCATTTCATTCCTTTGTGCTTGTGTTGGTCTTATCTTGGTGTACATTAAATAAGACTGAATAACCACATGTTTCTCCACAGTGTTGTATAATCCGTGAGGAGAACTGGCAGAATGTGTTCCCCGCACTCCACTTCTTGTAGAAATGGGTGACTAGCTTGTTAACCGTTGGGATTCCGGTTTTACATTGGTCCCTAGAAACCAAGAGATGGCAAAACAGGTCTGTCCAACGATCTCGTTGAAGGCGTGTTAACGAAATTGACCGCTGGTCTAAGCATAAACCATCTGTACAAAATTAACAATACACACACCTTAAACTTGCTGAAATAACCGTCTCTGCCAATTACATCTTTCTCAACCTACAGTTTTGGTGCATGCGTGACAATGGCCAGATCTGGAACTACCACCAACACCTGTACGTCAAGGACGGGAATGTCTCCCTGAACCTGCGGCACGGAACAAGCTGGACATACACTCAGGTAGACATTTGACACACCCATTGGCTCAGATGTAACTAGCACAACATGGGAATTGTGGAAAATACACTTGTCTATTAACCATACAACAGCTTCTAATTGCCATAGATTGAAACACTATAATCTTTTCACCACACACGGCACTTATTTCTTCTTCGACTTATTTCCACAGGATGGGTACTTACACGAAAAATACGATGGACTGTGTCTACAGGCAGGCAAGAAGACTCTCGCCGTACAACCCTGTTCTGGGGACAGGTCTCAGGTGTGGACACTCACGCCACGCCCTTCTTGACAGACGACAACTTGACCATTTCTCACTCATCCCTAGAGAATCATCGTTGTACTTCTCAACTGTAAATATTGAACCAGTGTTGTGACAGGCTGTTGACATACAGTGCATGTGGGACTTGCATTTAGGTTAGAGCTAATTAGTGCATGTCCGGCTCAAAAGTGATACAACGTGTTCACTGCCATCTGTGTCTTGGTGCATGATTGCTGGTAGGTTATGAGTCTTGGTAGAACAAGTCGGGGTTAAAATATTTATTATATTAAAATCAGCAATTCTTGGTAGTATGGCAGATGACATGACTAGGGAGTACAAATTCTGTACCCTGCATCCCATGTCCGTCTGCTCACACTACAAAGCAGACGAACAATTCCTTACCTCCCACAGGAGGCAATAAAGGGACAGATATATAGTATAGTGACAGATAAGATAGAGTTGGTGTACCACACAACATCGACAACAATGGCAGATTGGCTTGGATGACATGGGTGAGATGTTCATTCTCCAGTAGAGATGTCACGGACCAGTCTCAGTACCTTCACCACACACACTGCTGGTGCCACTGCCCCGGTATACAACTATGTGATATACCCTTCTCAAGGTCTTCTAAATGCATGTGTTTCTGTCTGTCACTTACCAGTTAAAGATTAAATGACAAATATGGGTTAAGATCAATTTATTCATTTTCAAAGTATGTACAACAAATAATATAGGTTTCATCCCAGAACATCAACAAAGGGAATGGAGCAAGTGTGTCATGGATATGCAGATCAGCAGAGAGGCCAGATGACCAGCCAGGTTGTGTCCAGCAAGCCACCTTACTACCGCCACTGGTGTAATTCTATGGCACAAGTTGTAGGCTGAGATCCCTTTGGGGCCAATGAGTTCTCTGTGTACATATACTGTAACTTGCCGCCATTACATACACACTGGTCATTGTAGTACATAAGGGACTCAGGTAAATATAGATGACGTCATAAGTTGTTTGTTTTCATACTCATGATATTTTGAAATGAAAAACAGAATAAACATTCATTAGCAACATGAAGGTATTTACCTTATTATCTCTCACCATCAAATACCTGCATGAAAAACGCCAAAACCTTTCACCATACATTATCCGTTACTGCTACATGATATCATTTGAGGGGCATTGTCTACCAACCCTCTCATCTTTATTACAGGTTTTATCATCAATAAACTGCATCAGTCACACTCATCTGTGTCTTGTGTTTCACATCTTCAACCATATATTCTTAACCAATGTACCCAAAGTCAAGGCAATCATGGCAGAGCAAAGCAGATCTGTTGCATAATGTCCAGGAAATGTCATCCTGTTTCTTATAATCTCTGCCTTGTATTCATCCAAAGGGCAACAGTGTCTTGAAACATTCACTGGAGCCTTGACCAATGTCTTCCTTCAAGGAGTTTCCCTTGGACACTGCTCCACCTCTTCAATCCCTCTGTTCTGTTTGTGTGTGTCAGTAGCTGGGAGCATTGTGACTGCTGTAGTTGTAGCCTGCTGCAGGCTGCTGGTACTGCCCATACTGGGCTGGGTACTGACTACCACTGCTGGGATACCGTTTCCGTGATGACAACTGGGACTGGCTGCCACTCATCTTCCTGTGCTGCTGCTGCTGTTGCTGCTGCAGAATGGGCAGTCCTCCCTCCTTAGCCAGTTTCTGAACAGCTGAGAAGTGACATTTTGTCACTAACTGGAGATCTTCAAATACTGCAAAGAAATCCACAACTATAAATTGGATCTAAGTGACAATGAGATTGAAATAGAAATCAATATTACCTCAGTGACATTGTTTTTCTTGTCATCACTTACTACAACATTTCCAAAATGCTACACTAAAAAGAAGTGACAAGGGTGGGGTGGGGTGGGAATATTATTATTTAATTAATATTAGAAATGTGATAGGTGTCATATATTCTGTTTTAATCAAGACAACATATGATTGAAATTCACTATTAATTTATGGAAACACATTTGCAGTGTTGTGTTCTTATTTAGATTTTGTTAAATGTTATGAGAAATGTTGATTTTGTTATTATTGTAATCCTGTGGACATTTTTACAATTAAATGCTTAGAAAATATTCACCTTTAGCAGCACAGGGTTTGTCATCAGCTGTGTGTATAATAAACACTTTCTCCTACCTTTAGCAGCATAGGGTTTGTCATCAGCTGTGTGTATCAACACTTTCTCCTCCCTCTAGCAGCATAGGGTTTATCATCAGCTGTGTGTATAATAAACACTTTCTCCTACCTTTAGCAGCACAGGGTTTGTCATCAGCTGTGTGTATAATAAACACTTTCTCCTACCTTTAGCAGCATAGGGTTTGTCATCAGCTGTGTGTATCAACACTTTCTCCTCCCTCTAGCAGCATAGGGTTTATCATCAGCTGTGTGTATAATAAACACTTTCTCCTACCTTTAGCAGCACAGGGTTTTGTCATCAGCAGCATGTGTGTGTCATAATAAACACTTTTCTCCTACCTTTAGCAGCATAGGGTTTGTCATCAGCTGTGTGTATCAACACTTTCTCCTCCCTCTAGCAGCATAGGGTTTATCATCAGCTGTGTGTATAATAAACACTTTCTCCTACCTTTAGCAGCACAGGGTTTGTCATCAGCTGTGTGTATAATAAACACTTTCTCCTACCTTTAGCAGCATAGGGTTTGTCATCAGCTGTGTGTATCAACACTTTCTCCTCCCTCTAGCAGCATAGGGTTTATCATCAGCTGTGTGTATCAACACTTTCTCCTCCCTCTAGCAGCATAGGGTTTATCATCAGCTGTGTGTATCAACACTTTCTCCTACCTTTAGCAGCACAGGGTTTGTCATCAGCCTATCAACACTTTCTCCTACCTTTAGCAGCACAGGGATTGTCATCAGCCTATCAACACTTGCTCCTACCTTTAGCAGCACAGGGTTTGTCATCAGTCTATCAACACTTTCTTCCTACCTTTAGCAGCACAGGTTTTGTCATCAGTCTATCAACACTTTCTTCTACCTTTAGCAGCACAGGTTTTGTCATCAGCTGTGTGTATCAACACTTTCTCCTACCTTTAGCAATACAGGGTTTGTCATCAGCCTATCAACACTTTCTCCTACCTTTAGCAATACAGGGTTTGTCATCAGCCTATCAACACTTTCTCCTACCTTTAGCAGCACAGGGTTTGTCATCAGCCTATCAACACATTCTCCTACCTTTAGCAGCACAGGGTTTGACATCAGCCTATCAACACTTTCTCCTACCTTTAGCAGCATAGAGTTTATCATCAGCTGTGTGCATCAACACTTTCTCCTACCTTTTGCAGCATAGGGTTTGTCACCAGCTGTGTTTATCAACACTTTCTCCTACCTTTAGCAGCATAGGGTTTGTCACCAGCTGTGTTTATCAACACTTTCTACCCACCTTTAGCAGCATAGCAGCATAGTTTATCATCAGCTGTGTGCATCAACACTTTCTCCTACCTTTAGCAGCATAGGGTTTGTCACCAGCTGTGTTTATCAACACTTTCTCCTACCTTTAGCAGCATAGGGTTTATCATCAGCTGTGTGTATCAACACTTTCTGCAGGAAGGACACCATGGCAGCAGTTGACAACACCTGCTCTGAGAGTGGCAGAGTTGAGAAGAATGGAATGTCCACAGCAAATGGGTTACGGGGAGCTGGATACGTGCTTAACTTGACCAGCTCTGCGATGATGTCCCATATAAACACATCTGTAACAGTAAGGAGGTGGGCTACCAAAAAATACCAAAAAAACATTGCTATAACTGTCTCAGGACATTTTCAGCAGCAGAAAATGCATACATGCCTCTTCTGAAAAAAAATGTGTGTTAGATGATGGCAGGAGTGGATCTACATGTCATATAAACATACTCACCATTATCCTTCCACTTGTACGTGGACTTGAGTCGGAGAGGGTTGTCTTTTTCCTGTGTGTCTCCTCCGGTCAGCCTCACTAGGCGTTCATGGTTGGAGCGCACCCACACGTAGGGACAAAGGTAGCGAGTGTAGCCAGCAATCAGGAAAACAGTGGACGACTCATCCTGCCAGGGGAATAACAACATTCTGGTCACTCAAACAGACATCCTGCCAGTGGAATAACAACATCCTGGTCACTCAAACAGACATTCTGCCAAGGGAATAACAACATCCTGGTCACTCAAACAGGCATTCTGCCAGGGGAATAACAACATCCTGGTCACTCAACGACATCCTGCCAGGGGAATAACAACATCCTGGTCACTCAAACAGACATTCTGCCAGGGGAATAACAACATATTGGTCACTCAAACAGACATTCTGCCAGGGGAATAACAACATATTGGTCTCTCAAACAGACATTCTGCCGTGACATTTTCTGTCAGCAGAACAAAATCTGGTGAGATATTACTTTCTTCATGAAAAAGCAATGACAGGCATTTCAAATATCACTTTAATTAAAAAAATAATTTTAATTCCAAAATCATATAATACCATGACTCAGGCTGGATATTCTTTAAGCAAGTGTGGCAACATATTTTGGCAAGATAACCTCAATTAACACAGTGATTAGTGTACTGCAGTATTCAGTGAGATCTACAGGGTGGGCAGCTGATGCTGCAAAGACTGCAATGTCATGTCCACCATGACACAGTGCTTGAATGCCCTGCTTGTGAAATAGTTTATTACAGATCGAAGTAGTGGACAGTCTATAGTGTGTGCCAGACAGATACTTCTATCTGTGCTGTATCCGTGAAGATCTGGGTTAGAATTGATCTTCTGTAACCCATGCTTGTCGTAAGAGGCGACTAACAGGATCGGGTGGTCAGGCTCACTGACTTGGTTGACACATGTCATTGTATCCCAAATGTGTAGATCGATGCTCATTATGTTGATCATTGGAGTGTCTTGTACAGACTGGATTATTTACAGACCGCCTTTCTATGTAAAACACAATCACCCACTGTGGAACTCTCATTTTCTTTCACACACTAGAGTCTGGACCCACTCTAGAAATTGCCATGAGACCCCGGGAAAGCTTCTATTTCATCATTTTGTTATCCAGCATTAGTTCTTTACGACTGTGAATGGTGACAGAAACTTCGCATATCACTCAACAGCATCTGCTGCATCTACAAATACCCACAGGCCAATTTCCTAGAAAGTGGATGGAAGATGTGAATTACATGCCTGGCAATAATTGTCAAATTATTCAACAGTTCCACATACCATAGCCTGTGTCTCATCATCACTTGGGGAGGCTGGGGGCAAGCCAACACCCTTTTCCCCAAGGCCACTCAGAGACATCTGTGTCCTCTGAGACAGCATCAGTGACCTCCTGAAGTAAACACACAATATATAAAGATAGATATGTCAGGTCAACACAAAATATGCACATTTTGATTAGACAAGCAATCTAATCAAATTATCATGTTGACTTTCGTGGTTGTCAACAACTGTAACAAAACCTTTGAGATCTACTCAGATACATTTTGGTCTGAATGCTAAAATCTTACTTGTCATAGGGTAGGTTGTTGGAGGTAAAGCTGGCGCCTGCTGCAAACTCTGTGTTGTGCAGGGGAGTGCCCGGTTCACTGCTGTAGCTGTTGTTGGGGGTCTGCAACAAGTGTAACATGCATACAACATATGCAATATCTGGGATTTGGACAATTGAACCTTTGAAACTCGTAAACTCACTCACACCATTTGATACCCTTTATCATGCAGTAATATGCTTCAAGTAGTTAGTTAACAGGTATGGAGTATGAAGCACCAAAGAAGGTGACTGCAACCTGTGGCTCATTGACGATGCTGATGACCATCTCCTCACGCCCTCTCATGTATGAAGCGAAGTACTTGAAGCCCTTCACTGTGCCCAGCTTCAGCATCTCCCCCAGAAACACCTGCAGTCTCTTTTTCAAGTGTGGATCTTCCTGCAAATGCAAGTACATACTTATGTATACCGTAGGTATATAGTTCCAGCGGAGGAACTTAAAAATGAGGATAAATTCTCTGTCACAATAACACCTCCCTCGCATAGCTAACTGAACTCACTCACGAGCCTACCTTAGATTCCTGCTGGCAACGCTGGCAAGGCGTGTGTGAAGCTACAACTTTAGTTTACAGTCTAATAGTTTACAATTAGCATGATTAGTGAATGAGTTAAATTCTCCATTTCAAGTTGCGCTAGCTCTTTGCAAGCTTAGCCTTAGGTTCCACCTCTTTTGCATTGGTGCAAAGGGTGCCAGTCAAATCGCCCCAGCTACAAAACGCCCCAGCCAATTTGGTCAAAATGCCCCAGAGTTTTGGTCAAATCGCCCCAGGTTTGGTCAAATAGCCCCAGGGGGTTAGTCAAAATGCCCCAATGTATTTAAATTGGTTAAATATATGCCACAGGGGCTTGTAACGCTATAAACTGCCTTTCCTTTTATATAGTGATAAGACCCTGTTAGTGACACTACATACCTTGATGGCAGTTTTTAGCGTTACAAGCCCCTGTGATATATGCCACAAATGCATAGTTTTTGTCAACTTCCATATTATATGCTATATATAATATTATATAGTGATATTTCTAATAAAAAATTTATTAGTAAACTGATAAGAGCAAAAGTAATATTCATGTATAGACAACACTATAATACCAATTATTTGGTAAAGAATTACAAGAGTAAAATGAAAGGTTTGTATAATATGTTTATTGGCTGTAAATAGTTTTTGGTCAACAAATGTAATCATAACAAGTATGGTATAATATTTATGATTTAAACATATTTATTTCCAAAGAAAGGAACCGGATTGGTAAACAAGCATAAGCTTATATGAATACCGCTCCGAGATACAATGGAAGGAAGGATAAACACATCATGATGAATGTACAATGTGAATGATATATAAATATTGCAAAAACGAGAAATAACGCCCATCATTGTTAAACAGTATATGTCATATAAACAAATTATTTTGGATCAAATCTGCCTGTTAAATTTATAAAAGAGTGCACTGAAATTACAAGTTCTTTGTTTACTATTGAGGAGCAGCTTTGGTTTCCAAACAAAATTGATTTTAGGTCAAATCCATTGGTATAAAAATACATAATTTGACGTATATCGTTGTAAAGAGAACATGAAAAGAACTAGTGAGCAGAGTCTTCATAGTTATGGCCACAAGAGCAAGATGATGTTGGAAATATAAATCTTTCATATTTGTGCGCATTATTGTCACTACATTCAAGTCAGAGACAAGAATGTATGATTTGACAAAATCTGCTACTGAAATTTAAGTCAAAATGACTGTAGATATTAGAATTGTTTAAACTTACATTTTAGAATCTCGATAGGTGATGGTCAGTTGATAGTCAATTAGTGAATATGTTTTAATAGCCTGAAATGCTCATACATTTGAGCCTCAACATTTCCTTCAACTAAACATAGCACTAAATGTCAATCAGTGTACATGTCCACACTTTTTGACAAGATTAATTAACAAAAGCTCTAGATTGTTTTGATAAGCATTATACCATACTTGTTGAAAAAACCTACGCATTTATGGCCTCACCTTTTGACAAGATTAATTAACAAAAGCTCTAGATTGTTTTGATAAGTATTATACCATACTTGCTGACAAAAACTATGCATTTATGGCCCATAAACATTCTATACAAACATTTCATTTTATTCTTGTAATTTTTTACAAAAGCATTAATAACATGCAAATAATTGGTATTACAGTGTTGTCTATACATGAATATTACTTTTGCTCTTATAAGTTTACTAATAGAAAATGCATCAGAAATATTACTATATAGAGCGGTGTCGGGTATTACCGAACAGCTAACACCACATCCCGCCTAATTCATACCGTGTTTCATCACATGTAACAATAAATAATATACACAAGGAACCTCTCAATGTGTATCATATTCATGTTTGAAGACGAGTTAATCCCGTCCAGTAAACCTGTTTCTGGCAAATATTTGACACGATCTAATTTTCAGATTTGGCACTCTTGTCGGCTCTGCCGAACACTCTCGTCGGGCATTTCCAAACAATGAGTCGGGCTTTTCCAAACACTCATGTGGGGCTATTCCGATCAACGGCGCCGGCTGACGACCTCTATGACATGTGTTTATGCTGAAAAGTGCGGTCATTTCGTACATATTATATACTCTGATCTCCAGCCCTTTAATGAAATTTGTATAATTTAGCCCGTTCCAATAAAGAGCTGGAATATTGTTGAGTGCGGCGTTGAAAATCAAACCACCTAACCAATATTTGAAACGTGCAGATAGGTCGTGCGTGAGTTTTTTCACTCGACGTTATGGATAAAAGGAATTCATGTAGAAGATTAATTACAATTTCAGGAACTGTTTGTTCCGAATAAGTAATAAACGTCACTATACTGAAATTTTACAAAGAATGAAAAATAACAAGACGACCATAACACATATATTAGAGCATACATGTCGTTCCTACCAAGGTCAGATATGTTATTGTTTGATATATTATCTCAACATCCAGATAATCATGATAACATTCTCCGGTAACCATGCAGGTAAAACAAGTCACATATGTACCATTCAAATACTGCCATGATCATGCATCATATGAAATAATGTTTACGCAATTTAGGCATATCAGGATGCGTCAAAAACACTTCATGTTTTATCTTGTTTGTCTTAAATTTACTTGTAAATCATATAGCTGCCAGGAATCAAACAGGTATTCCTGAACAGTGTCTGTACATTCGCATTACAAATGTGTTCCGGTGTGTTTCTATATATCAGGTTTTTCAAATATAGATCACTTATCTTTATTTAATAATCTTTATTTTTATTGATTTGATATATGTCTGGTCGCTTTTTTATTGAACCATTAATTCAGTAAATGTATATGATGGAGAAAACTGAACTGTTTGTGTGCAAAGAGACTTGATCATATCATGGCATTAATTCCCACAGTGTGCGTGACACTTACTATTATTTCATGTCTGAATACAAAATATGGGGCAAACGAAAGATGAGAATGCAGAAAAAAATTACTGGAAGCCTTACTTTAAATACATGATTAATGTGTATGTTATTTTGAGGTGAGGTGAGGTGAAATTGAGTTATACGTCGTGCTTGAGAAGATTTCACTCATATGACGACGTGCATGCGTGTGTATATGTTATTTTGATGATATGTGGACGTATTTTATGGAGGATAGAATTAACTGGCCACGAAAAGTAATGGAATTACATATTTCGACAGGGACAAGGGTGAAAATAATTAAACAATGCTGACGTTTAAGCAACTTGAAAGTCTTAAACACAGTTTGATGTTAGATGTTACTTGAATTATGGGTCGATCATAATTACTGGAACCAATAGAAATGAAAGCAGACGACGTGCAAGGTGCCCGTAGTCAATAATGGAGCATAGTCTAAAGGAAACCACTCTCAACTAAGTCGTGAAATTAGCTGCCCTTAACATTCCTATAGGTCACGGTCAAATATTTCAAATGTTTATCGACATGCCTCAACAAACATGTTCCTGGTGTAAAAGTAAGTTGTTCCCCGGACTAATGTTTGGAGTTGTCTCATTTTTTATTATTTGGCTTGCGAGAACGCAATAGCTTAGGCAATAAAACCCATTCCTTGATGAAACAATCATCGTGTTTTTCAGCAAGGCACGTTTCAAAAGTTAATGTTTACTTATTTACACAGGACAAGTTAAATTCTAACACCTATGAATAGTTTTATTATCAACAAATACACGATGCCATAGGCATACTGAAAATTGCTGAGGCCAATGACGTTTGTTGGGTAAAGGGCGACAGGGTTACACAGTTAAGGGGAAGTGTTGACCGAACGGTACAGTCCGTATATGACTAACAAAGCCTTACATTATAGTTTGGAATTGCGTAATATACTGAAATAGACATGGTGTTATATCTAGAATGGGGTATCCCAGTTTTAACCAAGACTTGTTGGCTTAGCCATCTCATCGCCGATATGCGCACCACGTTGAGGATGTAATGTCCGTTGCTTGTCTTTTTGTCAATTTTCTTCTCTGCGTCTTTTGAAGTATATTTAAGCAGCAGACGATCGTTCTTCCGGGAGAGGATTTTCCCTTTCATAGCATGCGTATAAAAGTTGCTGTCGCGATCGGCAACTTGAGAAAACAATGCGAAAATGGATTTTTGTTCGGTAATAGCCGCTTGTTCCGTAATACCCGACACCGCTCTATATGTGGTTAATATTATACGAAGTATATAATATGGAAGTTGACAAAAACTATGCATTTATGGCATATATTTAATCAATTTAAATACATTGGGGCATTTTGACTAACCCCCTGGGGCAATTTGACCAAACCCGGGGCGATTTGACCAAAAATCCGGGGCATTTTGACCAAATTGGCTGGGGCGATTTGGCTGGCACCCGGTGCAATGGCATTTGATAAAAGGCAAGCCCGCACAAATAGCGCAAAGGAACTTAATGCAATCACTACATTTACCGATGTCGCCTTCATCTTTAAGCCGTGTCAAATGGTCAATGGGACGGTACGACTACTTGACACAACAAAAACAGTCGTGCTGGCTGTCCTTTCAGGAAGTATACAAGAGTTATCTTCTCTTGGTATTAGTTCCTCTAAACGAGCCGACTGCATTCATTGCGCTTTCTGTGTTTAAATTGTGTAGAGTCGGAGCCAAGTTCAAAACATGTCGGTCTTTCGCGGAGTTGTTGAAGCAAAAATAAGATAATTTCTCGAATGAATTATATCTTGTCAGTTTATGATACATATTCATTTGAAACACACAACAAGGTGGTCGTCATCTGCCCACTGACCATGCAGCCATATCGTGCGCACAATCAGACACGACTTAATGCCTAACCAGTCAAGCCATAAGTTTGTGTTTGTCAAATCGGTTCCGGCTAGCTTATTACAAGATCCCTCATATGTTGTGTATGCTTGATTGAGACTTTTCTGTCTCTTGAAAATGGCTGCCCTCTTAAAGAAGAGAGCACTTGCGGAGTACAGTCAAGTGATTCAGGTACATAGACGACAGACTTGCTGACAGGAACAATTTACAAACAACATCACTTCTGTACCATCGAGTTTTAAATTGCAACTATGCATAAATTGAACAGTTTCACCAAAGGTTTTTCATTTTCATTTCATAGTCTTTTATGTCAATGCATGTTCTTATGATGAACCAAATAACAGCAATACAGACCACTTGTCCAGTTGTGAGTGGGAGAAGCTTAGTGGACCATTGTGTTGGTGTTCCATAAATGTAGCATCACCCTGATTGTGTTTATTAGTTGGTCAGTGCCATGCCATGGTCTTTGGTTTCACATATAAGTGGTAAACCTCAGAAACCAGTATAAGTTTGGGTTTTCCTCTCTCTTTTAGTTTACACACTGATCATGCTGATATAACTAGACAATTGTTGAAAGTAGCATTTAAACCAACTCATTCACTCTTTCATTGTCTGTTTATGTGGACCATGGTTAACAATAGACTTTGAAAGTTGAAGATGTCATTGGAGCAGCAAAAGCTTATATATGTCTTTAACCTAAATCTGTTGGTATCCAGGAAGAGCCAAAGCCTGTGAAGAAGCTCCGCCTCCAGCACAAGCCTCCTGCAACAGAACTTCATCTTGATCTGCAGAACACAAGCAGCTCCCATGATGCCCTGCAGGTGCTCCTTGACTTCCAGGCAGGCCTTGTGTCTGTGTCTGGTGAAGCTGCTATGGATGTAGTTGGGGAGCTGATGGAACACTACCATCGTGAGAAGGAGGCCGTTGTGAGGAGCAAGATAGCACAGGTGTTAGGGCATCTGTGTCGACTGCCTGGCTTCTCTCCAGACAACGTCATTGACCATCTCCTGTCCATACTCAGCACAGAAAGTAAGCCCTCATAGCCAGTTTATAGGTATCTAGTTACATTCCACAACCTGAAATAGGGGTGGTGGGGTAGCCTTGTGGTTAAAGCGTTCGCTCATCATGCCAAATGCCCGGGTTCGATTCCCCACATGGGTACAATGTGTGAAGCCCATTTCTGGTGTCCCCTACCGTAATATTGCTGGAATATTGCTAAAAGCGGCATAAAACCAACTCACTCACTCAGTCATCCTGAAATGTAGACTTACAGCATGTACAGACAATGTTTTTACAGTTTTGGCAATGAATTGCATATGTGTTTTCTTATAAGGTTAAAAGTTATTGTTTTTGGCCTTACAAAGTAGTGACTTTTCTAGATGCAAATGCCATGAGGACACATTCATGATTTTATAAAAAAAATCTTGGACATTTAACCTGCATGCATGTCCCATATTATTATCCTGATTACATGGAAAACAATGTAATGGTCAGTTTTCAAGAATTTGAAATACTGTGTTACCCAGTGAATGATACTGTTATGATAGAAACCTACTTTTCATTATATTCACATGTACCAACAGGGCTACAGATAAGGGGCGTACAGGCGTAATATACGCCTCAAAATCAATTAAGTACGACACAATATAAGATTTCAAGCGTATCATGTACGCACATAAATACCTTTGTACGTCTAACATTTAATTTACGTGCGTATCGTGCAAATGGAAATCTATTTCGGATAAATACTTGTTAAGTTTCTTTTGCGAAACACAATTTGACACATAAGGAAACCCCGACAGTAGGAATCCCTTGCGTTGCCATGCAACGATATGCATCACTATTTTTCGATTGGCTAAAAACTACACTGTTCCTATTTATATCCAGTCGGACCTGACTTTTCGCGCATCTCACAGTCGCTCTGTTATTTCTCATGGTCTTCAAATACAAATACATGGTTGGAAATAGTGATCAATGAATCGTCCAGACAAACCACATCAACTCGCTCACACAAAAACATGTCAGTACTCCTTCAAAATTCTCAGTACACCTCCACTTGCAATATGATGTGTAAGTACACTCGCACCCCCAAAAGTTATCTGGAGCCCTGACCAAGCTTCACTCAATATATACTACTCAAAACAAGTTAAGGGTCATGCGATATCTTCATGTAATGTTACTGATGAGGTTGGTTGCATTACATATGAATGAAAATTTTACAATCCGTGTATGGTACGTCATTGAAAACCATTGCAGAACCTGGATAAAGGCTGCAGATAACCGTGGAGCCAGTAGTCATCATGTGGTAGGGTGTTAGAAAATGAACAATTTGAAACATCGAGTACTTCACAAAAACGCCACCACTGTGCATGTTGAAGATGATGTTTCATCATGAACAGCATTTGCACATGATGTTCGTGGAATTAGTGCTGTGCATGCTTATTTTCCGTATAAAACTTGCAATTGTCACATTGCTATTGTCACTTGAAATTCAACAATGGCAAGAGGTCAACTGAGCATGACAGACAGAGGAAGAGCTCTCGCGTGGCTTCAAGATGGTGAAACTCAACGCAGTGTGGCTCGGAGGCTAAATGTGAGTCAGAGTGTCATTGGAAGGTTATGGCAACGGTTTTGTGCGACTGGAACGCTGAATAATCGACCACGTTCTGGCAGGTCTCCATCAACAACTCCTAGAGAAGACCGATACCTGACAAATATGGCCGTCCGACAACGCAGAGTAACTGCCAGACAACTCCGTGACCAACTGAGAGCTGTCACAGGTACCCTAGTATCTGATGAGACTGTCAGGAACCGACTGAGGAGGAACAATCTTCGGGCACGGCGACCAGCAGTACAACCATCACTCCATCAGTGACACAGGGCGGCATGACGTGACTGGTGTAGACGCCTTGTCCATTGGCAACATGCTCAGTGGGCGTCAGTTTTTCTCTCTAACGAGTCTAGGTATACTCTACAGTTCAATATGATGGTAGAACTTGTGTGTATCGGCGTCCAGAAGAGAGGTTTGCTGACGTCAACATCAACTAACGTTTGCCATTTGGTGGCGGGGGTATCATGGTTTGGGGTGCATTTTCCTTTCATCAAAGGACACCTCTGGCTCTCTATGTCATTAATGGTAGCCTGACAGGAAATCGCTATCTACGGGAGATTATAAGGCCCCTTGTTTTGCCATGTTTACAACGTATCGGTGTTGGATCCATATTCCGAGATGACAATGCCCGACCACACCGTGGCCGTGTCGTGACTGACTTACTTAGACAGAACAATGTTCAGCACATGGAATGCCCGGCATATTCAGAGGATTTAGCCCCTATTGAACATGCTTGGCACGAGTTAGGACATCGGCGTCGTAACAACCACGCCCCTTCAAACAACTGTGCAGAACTGGCCCAGTATCTCATTCCAGAATGGCAGGCAATACCCCAAGCCTTCTTGCAACGTCTGGTGAACAGTATGAGACAGAGGTGTACTGCTTGTCTCACTGCTCGAGGTGGTTACATCCGTTATTAGTCCAATGTTGGTGTTTGAATTTTCACTTCTGACAGTATGTCACTTTGGCCTTATTGATCAGCAATTACTGACATTCCTGCTGTTTTTGTCTCCCTTTATGGTTATCATGAAATGTTGGCTCGAGTTGTTATATGATCGCTACATTTTACTGTTATTTATATTTGTAGTTATGGCCATTAAAAGTTTTGACCCTGAACTTGTTTTGAGTAGTATACTTATATAAGCCATGTTGGACTTTATGTGTCAACAAGAAGAAGAAAAACACATTTGATCCATCTTCCAGCTTGATTAACATTTGTACTTTAGAGAGTTTGCACCTTTCTTCATCATTGAGATCTATATTTTCAACCTTATTTCCCTGTCCATGGTCAGGCAGTAACGCGAATAAATGATCCCCTCTCAGGTAGTCATTTGTACGTGTAACGGGGGAACCGCCTTGCATACACATTACGTCCTCTACTGCTTTTACTCTACATGTTTGTTTTCTATTAGGATTTATGCGTGTATCTGGGAGTAATAATCATACTATATCTCATACAGAAAGGAATGCATATCTTCTATATTTTTGTACTCTAAATCCTCCTATCTTTTACTCTGTCTTGTTCCAGAATCACACAAAGTATTGCGTGAGATCATCCAAGCTCTCTCATCAATCGGGAGACAGCTCCCCAGCAGCCTTGCTGGCTACAAAGTACAGATACTGCAGGCTGCCAAATCTGTAAGTTCAGTTTACACATTTCATATCTTCAACAACATGGATACGCTTTTGAAAGGTGGGGGAGATGGGGAGGTATCCATGAATAGAAAATGTTTAAACTTATCTTATCTCACGGCTTGCACCTCTCTCTCTTCCTTCGACACTGAGTGGAATGACTGTAAACCTTTTCCCCTGGCCTCTCTTGTTCACTCTTCCATTTATCTCGTGCCGTTCTCGTTAATGGACAACTTGCCACAATCCATGTGAGGCATGCATCACGCTCCTCAGCTACCCAGGTGACTACTGCTCACACATCTTTCTCTTTCTCGTCGCGTCCCTGGCTGGTCGTACTTGTAAATGTTGAATACTTCCCTTTTCCTGATTGTTTTTCCTCCACTATGGGGAAATTGGAAGATAAGCGTAAACGCAAGTTTTGTGCTTAGTTCAAGAAGAGATTTTCGAGTTTTGATCCGTGTGTTGACTGTGTGGGGTTATGTGAGGCTAATAATTGATGCAACAAGTGTTCCCTAAGATTTCAAGGCATACCAGCGAGTATATTCACGTCGTTTAGCTGACCAGGCTAGGAATGCTTCGTTAGAATGTAGTCCATCTGCTGCCAAGAAAATTCGCATTCAGCGACCATCTCTAACTCTGAAGCGATTACTATCGCCTCCCTGGGAGTGGAGGATTTCTTGGCCGCTTTATCTGAAGACTTGAGGAATTTGCTTGGCATGCATTCATATCCTCCGGAGTCTCTGTCCTCTAGGGTGGTGATGATTGATCGACCAAACTTTCCTGAAACTGTTGCCGACCCAACGGATCTGCGGATGACACTTTCTGCTTCTCTCTCGCCTACTGTTGCATTACCAACAGGGTAGGAAGGAACAGCGCAGGCGCTCACTGTTGAGCACTTGTTCCCCGCAACGAGTAGCATAAAGTCGGTTGTTATTCCTGCCACACCGAGTACTTCTTGTCGTTCAAAAGCATTCCTCACACAGTGTTTCACATTCAAGTTCATCTGACAATGCGGAACGGCCACACTCCAATCGATCTCATTCGTCTCAGAAGAATGGGAAGAAGAAACGTCGCCATGCCAACCCGTCTGATTGTGTTGACTCAAGTCATGCTTCACCGAATGGCTCAGTGTCTCATCGTCAAAGTGATTCGGCACAATGAGCCGGTTCACCGCAGTATGATCGCCGTATGGACTCACCTCAGGTTGCTGTCTCTCCCACGTCTGAGTCCTGTCAACTCACTAATTCACGGCAGCGATCTAGGTCACCTCCGCCACGAGTTCGTTAGGCCGAACTGGTTCGCCGACTCCTCGACGAACTAGTTTGTAGCCGATCTAGATCACCGCATCAACAACGAACTAGTTCATCTCGCCGAACTGATTCAACTCGCAAACGCTGATCCAGTTCAATAAACCGAACTGATTCACCTTTTGTGTACGGTTTCAACGCATCACTCTGTCAGCCAAACCGGTTCATCAGACCGAGCGAGTTCACCTCAGCGCCAGCGATCTGCTTCAACCAGGAGTGATTCACCCATACGTCATCCTGCTAGTTCATCAGGGCGTTTTGGTTTTGGTTGGTATTGCAGTACCTCGTTCTGATTCTCCTGGTTATCGTCATCGTTCCAGTTCTTCTGGTTGAGGCATTTCACCACATCCGATTGGCTCAACTTTGCGAACTGTTGTATCGCGAAATACCTCTTCAGTTCACACTGATTCACATTTCCGAACTAGTTCTTTTGATGCTCCTGGGACTCGGATCCCCTCAGGAATTCTACATCAGACTGGATTGTCTGGTCGAACTGTTTCTTATCCATCCACTACTGCGCCAAACCGCTCAGAGCGTTATGGGACTCCGTCGCCTCACCATGATAATTATCCTCCCCGCTCTTGCTCACCTCATACATTGGGTACTAGGGAGTGTATTGACTCTAGTACGTTGACTGGTTCTCGACCTTCAGTTCATCTTCACTCACCACCTGCGTCACCCACGAGACGTCGTTACAGTTCGTTAGATAGACGTTCCCCTTCTCACCGTCCGTCTGTTTCTGATTCATCGGTTGCTGCTCCAACTCAGATTTTACCGGAATCTTGGTCTCCATCCAAGGACACTGGATCTGTGCCAGACTTAGATATGATGCTAAAAGCTGTTACGGCAGCGTATCAACAGTATCATCATCCTCGTGCTGCCAGTCGTCATCCACTCCTGCCGGGTCTCGTTCGACTGATCATATAGTGCACCTTCCCGAAGATCCTTCCCCAGTTCATTCCGAGATGTCCACACAGTGTTGATTTGGTGGATGCTTCGCATGTGCTGGCTTGGATTACGGAATAAATTCAACTACAACTTAGTAGTAATTCCGACGGCCTTCTTGAGACATACACTCTTAAGGGTTGGGATCTCGCATCTATGATGCTTTCCCCTCGGCCGTGCATCCTTCAGATGGCTGATACCTTGGACCGTGCTTTTAAGACTTTGAAACGAACGAGGGACGGCCTCTCTACGCCTAGGTTTAATCCGTCGGCTTCGCATGTTCATGGGCTCACCTCCTTTGTTACGTCTCCAACAGTTGATGAGGATGTTTCCACCGAATTATCCCACATGGATACCGCCATTCGCCAGACTTTACCCTCCATTAGTTGTATTCTTTCGGTGGTTGATGCTGTGGCTGCTTCAGTAGAACATTCCTTCACTGACCAGGATGCCTACATTCGTGGAGCCATGTCGCTCATATTGGAACAGTTTCAAACTGTACTTGACCAACTCTCCCATTTTTTTAATACACTCTTGCAGTACGATGTCCTGGGACAAGAGGTTTAAAACGGAACTGTTTAACCCATTCAACACCGCAGGCTGAATAATCGGCCACAACGTTATGAGTCCCCAGACACCGGAGGCCGATTAATCGGCCAGGCAGTAGTCACGTCAAAATGAGACATAATTTTTGGAACCTACCTGACTTATGATTCATATATTAAATCTGTCACATTTCACAATGTCTGAAAACACTTATTAAATTTCAATTGAAATTTCAAATTTCGGCAGAATTAAAATTATAAACAATTTTTCGCAATGTTTTTGAAAACAACGATTCTCGGACACATGCTTCGGCAGCGGGTCCACAATAACATTGACAAAGAGCAAAGTAACGATGTTTTGAGGAAATCATTAAATAAATTGCTGACTGAGTTTAGTTTTACGCCGCTTTTAGCAATATTCCAGCAATATCACGGCGGTTAAATAAATTGAATTATCTAATGAATAAAATCAACAATAGCATTCATAAAAGTTGTCAAACGTACATATAAAATTACTATTTCCATCTTTTTGTGAGATCATGTAATATAAGTCAAGTCACTAACACGTGACATCTGACCGCCTCCGTGGTGTAGTGGTTAGAGCGTCCTCCCGGAGAGCGGAAGGTCGCTGGTTCGACCCCGAACGCGTCATACCAAAAGACGTTAAAATATGGTACTTGTTGGTCCCTGTCTGGCGTTCGGCATTAATGGGTACAACAAGGACTGGTCGGCTCGGAGTCAGTATAATGTGTCTGAGTGGGGTATTCATGCTTCACTGCGGCATGGTATCTCAGTGGGCTAGCACTATAAAACCAGCTTCAATCTGGGCTAGTACAAGCAGCCGCACATACACATACACACGCATGCACGTCGTCATATGAGAGAAATATTCTCAAGTACGACGTTAAACCCAATTTCACCTCACCTCACATGTGACATCTCGGCTTTCGCCGCCTCAATCTTCACGCTCGGACACGATGTTTAATGCAAAAATATATGCATGAAGCATTTTTGTCATAGGTCATAACCTAGCACGATACGTCCAATACGTTCCATAATTTACGTATAGGTAGCGATTTCTTGCTTAATATGTTCAGAATAGCATTATTTTACCAAAAACTTTCGTTTAATTTTAAAAGTTTTCGTTTACGAGGATGGTATCCATTGCCGTAATATGATTGGCTGCCTTAGGTCACGTGTCTAATTTTGACCAATCACGAGCCTTATAGCAGACTGTGGCAAAAAAGCGTCATTAGAAACCAATCTTTATCCCATAAAATCGCTTCTTACAACTGTGAAAATACTCTCGGCAAGGGTAACAGTGATATTGTTGATGTTCAGAGTTTTCTAACGATACCTGTCATCGAACGATTCGCCTCGCATGTTATTCATACGAAGCTTCGAAAACAGACGTATTTTCCGTTGTTGTGTCATGTTACCGTAATATTATGTAATAGGCGACCATACATATTATTTAAGAAATCTTTTTATAATAATTTTCTGATTACGTAAAAATGAAAATATAAGAGAAAAAGGCACGGGCATGTTACGACATGTCACAAATGGAAAAAAATCGCAATAGTTTTTGCTTCTTTCTTGGTTTATCTGGACATGTTAAATGTAAGCTTGCATTTTCATTAAAAATAAATGTATTTAAGTTGTAGTTGTATTATTTTAATAATATGATAAAAATCTTTTTTATATTTATCAACAGTAGGATTAGATCTTTTAAATGGTGTATGAGATGTAGTAGCAATAACGTTTACCAGATATATTTTCCTTCATAAACATAGGCTTCATCTATGACCTTAGAGTCTCTGGGAACTCAGTGTCATAGCAGTAAATGCCTCTGGTTGACTGGTGTTGAAACAGTTAAGCAACCTTGGTCTACTGATTCCCTTTTTGGCGGAGCTATTGGGGCCATGAAAGCAAAAGTGGCTCAGGAGGCCCACTTTCAAGTGTCGGTGGACCTTCTTCAACTGCAGAAGATTCAGTTGCAAGATTCCTTGAAGCAGCGCCGTGCTCCCCGTTTCCTACCCTCCAATCCTAATTTGAGGGAGTGTTTTCGTGGAGCCCACACCGCCAAAGGTAGAGCAAAGAAAACCTCACGAGGAGGACTTTCCCATCGTCCCACCAAACCGGACATTGGTTCTGGAGCAATCAGCACAAGTAAGCAGTGACTGGCCGAAATCTACACACAATTGGGAACTCCCGCCGTACCGATCTACGACTCCCCGGAGACTCCGCCTATTTGCCCCCAGTTGGTCGATTCTAGGCGACCCGTTTGTCACATCATTAGTAACTTCAGGTTATCAGCTACCGATCGTAGGCAACCTACCTCTGATGATTCGTCCCATTCAGCGGAATTACCCTCCAGTTCAACTGCAGACCTTAAGGTCAACCATCAACACGCTGTTGGGAAAACAAGCTATTGAAGCACTGGGTCCGTCACCGAGGAACCCCGGTTTCTACTCACCAATTTTCTTAGCTCCGAAGAAGAACTCGAAGAAACTCAGACTGATATTCAACATGAAACTGTTCAACCATCAGTTTCTAGACCGTCGGCCCCACTTCAGGATGGTGTCTGTCAATCTTCTATGCACCGTTCTGAAGAAAGGAGATTATCTAATCAGCCTGGATCTTCTAGAACCTTATCTCCACGTCCCCATATATCCAGAGCACCGGAAGTTTACCAATGGGAGGTGCTTCCATTTGGAATTTCCACGGCCCCATGGCTTTTTACCCGTCTCACCAAACCCATTACGAATTTCTTGCATCGTCAAGGGATAAGTTTCGAGAGTTACATTGGCGATTGCATCCAGTCTTATCAGGATCCAGTCATTCTTCTTCAACACCTACAGTTCACCAGCAACCTGCTGCGCCAGTTAGGGTGGCTGTTGAATCTAGAGAAGTCGGAGTTAACACCGACCGAGAGTCTTCAATTCATAGGGGCGGTGTTCGACACCCGTCATGGGATGCCCTTTGTTCCTCAGGACAGGTGGCTTGTGTTCCACTAGCTCTGTCCCAGACAAGGACACTTCGCCAGTGGCAGGAACTCTTAGGTCTTCTCACGTCAGTGCAAGCCCTGACTTACAAAGGCCAACTACAGCTCCGACCATTACAACGGTTTCTCCGACCATATCTACAAGTCGACAATCCCAAGGCAATGATTTGACTTCCAGAACCATTGCGACCAGTCCTGCAGTGGTGGCTCAACGAACAGAACATCTGCACCGGAGTTTCTATGACGCCCTTCGCACCGACACATCATCTGTTTGTGGACGCATCCCTCAGGGGCTGGGGAGCTCACTTTATCGACCATCAAGCGGCAGGGCTGTGGTCATCAGTTGGAATTTAAGGCCCGTGATACACGCAGTCGAACATTGGGCACTGGAGCTACGGTTATCCAGTCTGCTCATTCAGTCGGACAACTCGACAGTAGTGTGGTATATCAATCACCTTGGGTCGACAGGATCGGCGAATCTTCTCCAATGGGCAATGAGGTTTTTTCACCTCATAGACACTCTCAACATCATCGCTCGAGCAAGACACATTCCAGGAGCAAAGAATGTGATCGCCAATGCCCTGTCCCGCTCCAACCGGCTGTCGCCGACCGAGTGGAAATTACATCCCCAGGTCTTTCAGATTATGATCTACCCACTATCACGGCCCCTAGTAGACCTCTTCGCCACACGATTCAACAAGCAGCTCCCAAGGTTCGTGTCTCCGATTCCGGTGAGAATATTCACCCTTGTCACGTAGACTTGTTGACGCCTGGCAACTGATCCATTGTCACCAGCAGAGAGACCATGTTCCCCCCGTCTTACAAGATAAGTCAGCGCATGAGTGATTTAGACTCAGTTTTGGTAATAGTCCTTACCTTCACATATGGGTTGTTCAAGATAACCAAACAACGAGGCGTGCTAGTTTATCTAAATCCACGAAATCCGTAAGATTTACTTCTTTTACGGACGTAAGAGAAGGTGGTCCCCCAATGATCATCAGAGAGATTGACGCAGATCAAGCCGCAAAATGAATTCCCAAGGGGTATATGATTGAACGCTGATGTGATCAGAACAGTCACAGTGAATCCCTTAGGTGACTAACCCACCACCTATTCCGTCAGATTCTTTAGGCTATATAGCATGAGTCAGGATAAGGAAAAATATGTAATCATTATGATAAAATTGATATTTTATACTTATCCTGACTCATGATTTGAAGCCCTCCCAACCATCCCCTCTCAACCACTATAGGCTTCCTGTGAAGAATTAGTGAGGGCCAAATTCAGAGAGAGTGATGAGAGCATGACTTGAGTCACATGGGTACGCTGTGGCGGGAAAAGGGAGGCAACTCAAGGGTGATGCTTTTTCGCTGCCGTTCACTGTTTAGGTACCTGTTTGAAATCACAGCTTAAAATGAGAAGTGTTTTTACACTTGCTGAAATTGGTCGGGCTAAAGGCCTTTTGGAATCTGGTCAAACTCAGCGGCAGGTTGCTGTCTGCTTTAATGTGAGTCAGAGTGCTATTGGTAGACTGTGGCAGAGATTTCAAGCCAATGAGACCAGGGTCCGTGGTATATGCACATCCACCAGGTCGCCTCAGAGTCACAACAGTCCGAGATGATAGGCACATGATTAACACTGTGTTACATGACAAATTTCTTAATGTAGCAGATCTTCTGACAGAACACTTCAATGTAAACAATGTTTGGATATCCAGGAGCACTGTTCGTCATGGCCACTGGAATCAACGTCAATGGTCTAGTGTGCTCTTCACAGATGAAAGCAGATTCAATTTGTCCTTCTATGATGGTCGGCAGAGGATTTATCATCACAATGGAGAGTGAATCACAGATGCAACTGTGTCCACCCATAAAAGCCGATTTGGCAGGGGGTCGGTCATGGTGTGGGCAGGGATAACTCCTACTGGACGCAGAGCTCCAGATAAGATTTAGCTCATGTGGGTACTGTACCCACTGTATTTTTTTGGAGTGGGTATTATGAATTTTGAGTGGGTATTTCATTTTCTGTTACCCACCGCTTTCAAATATGTGCGTATTTCACATATTTCACGTATTTCAGTCATTTTACTCACCTAAATATTATGTCATTGCGTAAGTTTACTAAGCAGGTATGTTCTGCCTTATGTCATACCTAATCAAAACCAACTTAAATATAATGGAAATGATTTCATAAATAATCACTCATCCTATACTGACAGTACAACACTAGTCCTATACTAACAGTACAACTTGATAGCAATCGATGTCTTTTTTCATTACGCAAGCGGTTTTTATAAATATATTCCGTACGCATTCGTTTTAAACTTTTTGCGTATCTAACATTTTAAATGCGTAATTAGTACGCAACAATTATTTCTCAATGCGTAATTGGAAATTTTCTATGTGTATTTTACCCGGATACGCAGCTTATCTGGGCCTCTGTGGACGTACTCCACTGCACGTGTGGTTGACGGTAATCTTACCGGACAGCATTATCGGGACGAGATTCTGGCAGTGCCATTCCTGCTAGCTATGCATGGCTTTTATGGTCAACCCTCTCTACTGCAAGACGACAATGCTAGGCCTCATAGGACCAGAATTGTCATGGAATTCCTTAGGCTGCAGGGTGTAGAGCGGATGGAGTGGCCAGCATGCTTGCCAGGCCTCAACCAAATTGAGCATGCCTGGGATGAACTCGCTCAACACGTGTACACACGTCACCCAGCACCAGTGGACCTCCCAGGACTTCGCAGAGCTCTACTAAAGGAATTTTTTGCGATTTCCGCAAGCTTTCTTTATGAACTTGATACTGAGCATGAGAACAAGGTGCACCTGTGTCTTGGACGCGTTAGGAGGGTACACACGATATTGAATGACCGAGCGCTTCATGTTTGTCATTTTAATTTGGGGGGTTGGTCTATACAGCTGATGTTTGCTAGTTCTGTTTGAACTTTTTACTGTATGTCACGATGTGTCACTTTTGTCAACACATTAAACATTATGATGACACTCTTTATAGTCCATTATTTCTGATAAACTTTTCTTTACATGTGCTATATATCATTTGACCCATTATTGATAATGCCTAGTATATAAAAAGGGATAACTGCATTATTTCATTTTAGTTTTTCACTGACACCACTTGCTTCAAAATATTGGCTTGATATATTTCTTCTGTACACATTGTACATTGTGTTTTAATGTATTCAGCAGTTGTCAGCTTATTACCTGGAAGGGTATTTACATAAGCAAGTATTGCTTCATTACCAATCTGAATTTCTTCATAGACAGAAATATGTTTAAACGATACTTGTGTCCTACAGCACCTGTGTGACTCGGCCCATAGTGTGAGGAGCAGCTGTCTCGATACTATTGGAGTCTTGTGGTCAGCTGATTCAAAGGGTGACGGTGAAAACCAGACAGACATGCAGAAACTCATAACAAAATACTTCAGTGATCAGGACCCTCGTGTGAGAACAAGTGCTTTCCAAGCAATGGTATGTAACCTAAACAACCTTACCATTACTGATTAGTGAATCAAGTGTTCTCTTGCCTTTTACAAAGTTTACACCGGCATCATGTTTCCGTATCAATCACCTTGAGCCATATCATACAACTATGACTGGCAATTTATACTGTGTCTTTGTGATTTCAAAATATACAGTCAGCTCTCGTTAATCCGACACTTGTGGTTGCAGAGAAATATGTCGGATTAACGAAAATATCGGATTAATGAAAATGTCGATTAATGTATTTGTGTGAAAATATCAATGTTTACTAAATGTCATGATCGTCATACTGTTGCATGCATATCAGAAATGGTAGATATAGTTATCTTCATCGTATGTAAAAATATTCACAGAAATACAAAATACTAACAATACATACTTGTTTTCATTTATTAACATTCATAGATGGCATAACATACATATACAATCACATAAGCGAACAGTTTCATATCTATTTCATGACCACATTGGCACAAAACTCACGTTTGTTTTTACCGCATATCAGCTGCCATTATGACCCGGATGTTACAGTTTCCATACAACTAATTCCATAATAACATGTGGACGTCTAATGTACACTCAGGCGTGTATCATAACATATATAATTTATAACTTGAAAAAATCTTTGATGGTCATTAAAATCAAACACATCTAAGTGGTGTGTCAGAAATGTTTGCAAAGTGTTCAACGATGTTTTGGCCTCAGATAGCTTGAAGCATTGGAATCAGTCATAGAGACGCTCAACCACTAAGCAGACTGCTTCAGGATGTCAGATCACGGTTGATCGTCAATCTTCACATCAAACTTCTGCTCAGCAAAAGTGATGACTTCTTGTTGTGTTGTCTGGGGTTTGTCTTTCTTCAAAAGGAGATTTCTTTCTTGATCAATGGCGTAACTTCTACAAGGGGTCGCTTAGCAGGTGGTGTACTCGTGACCAATATCTTGTGATGAAAACTCATGTCGGTTGTATCATAAACATTTTATACAGCTCGCTCCACTGTTGTTTCTTGATTAAATCGTCTCAATTAATTATCCTGTGTTCCTAATTAACAAGTTTGATGTTCACTGACGTCGCTGTCAAGCAGCCAGTAAGGCACACGCTAATTATCACTCACGTGTGATTGTTTGTATACGGTCGGATCATCCGACCGGCTGTGTTGATTGTCGGATTAACGAATGTTTTTACACTGTATTTACAATAATCAGCTGCTAGATTGGTGTGTCGGAGTCGGAATGCGAGAATGTCTGATTAACGAGAGTAATTATCACTGTTTTAAATGGTTCCCTAATTTTTTGTCGGATTAACGCAAACACCGCATTATTTGCTCCAGTGTCCTATGTGAGTTTAGAGTATTGCGCAGGAGGGTACCCTCACAGACAGACACACTGCTCCAGTGTCCTATGTGAGTTTAGAGTATTGCGCAGGAGGGTACCCTCACAGACAGACACACTGCTCCAGTGTCCTATGTGAGTTTAGAGTATTGCGCAGGAGGGTACCCTCACAGACAGACACACTGCTCCAGTGTCCTATGTGAGTTTAGAGTATTGCGCAGGAGGGTACCCTCACAGACAGAAACACTGCTCCATGACTGCACAGTTCACAATGAGTCAGTCATGTGAAGACCGTGTGAGGTCATGTCCTCTGTTATTGCAGATGTCATGTGTTTTTGCAGGTGGGTTTCCACCAGCGTGGTCTACAACTTGACCTCAGCATTCACCAGCATGCATGCCAGGCATTCACAGATGACTATGAGGATGTGCCGAGGGCGGCAGTGAAAGTGGTGTGGGTTCTATGTCATCTATACCCGGAAAGGTGAGCACAGTCACTAAATTCGTGTTTGCTGTCTTGTCGTGTTTGTTTTTGGGTGAAAAGTAGTCGATTTTCAATAAATAAGAGGGTATTAAATCTTGACACTCCTTCTCTCCGTATATGTGTCCGAGTCTGATGCCAGTCTCAGTGTTTATGTCTGATACAGGTATCTGGTTTTCAGTCCAGTGCTACTGTGTATTTCCTGTGTTGCAGCCTGGTGCCTGTGTGTGAATCATCAGCAGAGGAGCTGCGCCTTGTTGATGATGGCTTTGCTAAGATCTGTAACATGATTAACGACATCTCAGTGAAGGTTCTGGTGGAGGCTGCCTCTCTACTGGTGAGATGTTACTTACTACAGTTGATACAACATAGGATGGTACAGCTGTGGAGGAATCTTGTGGATGTATAGCAAAACTGATCATTTATTCTTCAACGATCTTGGAACTGTGTACCAGGTCCAGTGCCATTTTGTTGAGTCAGTCCTGTGTGGGCCTCAGAAGTATTTTAATTGTTGAATGTGTTTTTCCATGTATGTTTTCTGACCTGACTCTGTCACTGTCATACACATTTTCCCATGTGTTTGTATTTTTAAGGGCTCCCTACATCAAGTCAGCCCTCGATTCCTGGAACAAACCCTGGACAAAAAACTGATGTCCAACATGAGAGTAAGTAAAGGGATTAGATCCTGGAAAATAAGCACATACTTTACTGCTTTGGCTCAGTAAGTTAGCTAGCATTATGACCGGGCATTATTTTAGAATTTTAATGAATGGTTATTGTCCAATAAGTCCTTGATTTTATCTATTCAAAAACCAGTATTTTGTGAGTGTAGATTCATAGTAGAATGCCATTTGTTGCTCTTAGAGAAAGCACAGTGCCCATGAACGTGCCAAAGAGCATTTCCAGTCTGGTGAATGGTCAACTGGCCAGAAGTGGGCTGACGATGCACCCAAGGAACAAATAGATCCAGAAAATATCAACCTCATGAACATCGGAGCATGTGGAGCGTTCATACATGGACTTGAAGATGAGTTTTATGGTAAGTTTTCTAAGTGTGCAAGCAGAGACCATATAATAGAGGGACGGCCCTCCCCAACAGTTTATCACTAACCATCAGCGCTACGGCCTGGCATGTAACTGATACACATCGACACCCTGTTGCTAACTTCCCTCTACCGGTACACATGCGCAACAGATGCGCAGACATTCGCAAATGAGCACTCTGGTAACCACGTAAACAATATTGCGTAATATCCGGGCCGAGAGTTAATTCCCTTAGTGGGATTTTACCGGCTGCATTTGACAGTTAAACATTACTTGGACGGCTCCAATAAACTGATTACAATAATCTTACTTTTTTATCTTATCTCTCATTTGCACATGTCAACTGACAACATCGAAGAACATGTATCATTTCGCGAAATGCATGTCGTCATAAGCCTGGAATATTTGTTTCAACATTTGGCATGGCCATGGATGACTTAATTCATTCACTGGGATGATTCCGACTTGGACCTCGATACTTACTTGGAGAATTTACAGACTACGACAGGACAGAGAATATAAACCAAAAATACAAAAATCAAACTAACCCAGTCAGGTAAAGGCAGTTTTAACATTACAGTTGCCAATATCCCCGATGCTCGCTAAACGTATCATCACATGGCTAATCTCAAGATTTACTTGCAAGTATTCGTTGGCACAAAACGAGGGTGTGGTCAAGCAGTCGATGAAAGTAAAAATTCCCGCGAATTTATAAAGAATGTGCAGATTTGCAAGCGTTGGCCAATCAGAGGACTTGCTTCGACCACACCCCTGTTGTGTGCGGACATGTCATCCATTTGTGTCAAGCTCGTTTAGTTGAGAGTCAAAATCGGTTTTCAATCGACTTGCAGAAATAACAATAAAGGATTGGTAGGTGTCATGAGTGTTGCTCGATAGGCCAATTATCCATGATTATGTTTACATAAAGTTTTAATCGATTGCATGCAATGGTAGCGTAGCGATCGGCAACGCAAGTCGAGTAGGGTGCACCCTAGAAGTGTCCGGCCTTGTGATTATGTATTGTACTGTGAAGCATTTCGAGTCGGGGTGTCATCTCAAAAACAATATTTTTAAAATCATGAATCCTCGGAAAGACACGAGGGCCTGTGACTGGCTGCATGGTGTTTCACTAAATGACGCTATTATAGTCTCTGATTCTAATTTTATATTAATTCGCATAATTTTATATTATAAAGTTTATAGTCCCAACGAAACACGATTTCACATTATCCAAGAGCGTTAATGTTTTTATAATGCCAGTTTGGGGCTAGCAGTGATTATGCTTTGACTGACTGACTGACTGAGTTTGGTTTTACGCCGCTTTTAGCAATATTCCAGCAACATCATGGCGGGGGACACCAGAAATGGGCTTCACACATTGTACCCATGTGGGGATTCGAACCCGGGTCTTCGGCGTGACGAGCTAACGCTTTAACCATTAGGCCACCCCACCGCCCCTTGATTATGCTTTGAGCCGTATGGAGACATTTGTTGTTTTTTTCAAAGGGAAGCCACTAAATACTGAAGTCACTTTCCTCCGATCCCATGAAATATACGTGTTAAATGGGCTGTACTACATTACCCTATCAATTAAAAAATTTCAGCAAAGTGTCAACTTTAACTTGGCAGGAAAATGCAACCAATAACATTAAAACACAACATCACACGTTCTTATATGTACAATGCATTTATTGTAGAATAGGACCATAGATCAATATGTACAATCATGTATTACTAAATTCAACCATTTAGATATTCTTTCATTAAAAACACAGTAAATGTGAATTTCAACTGTTGCAAATAAACTCTAAACTGAATTTGAAATTAAAATTATGCAATAGTTGGTTGCCAATGCTCTTTCAAACAAGGTATATCTACTTAATCAAGATGGGAATATTGTACTTAATAGTAGGCTCTTTGAGTAGCCCTTCCGATGAGTGCCGATGAAAACTTTCTTTTTCCTGGGCATCTACAAAACAAATGATAATTTTGTGATATAAATATAATGTTGAATAATGAGTTCATTTTTCATTTTTGTTGTTGCATAAGACAGGCTGTTGGTACTGTCTAAGCCCAGGCAAATCATAATCAAACTTCATTAGGAAGAATAATGATAACAGAAAAATATATTAATTGTAGTCGTGATAAAATATGGGAAGATGGTAACTTATAAACTTCTTGCAACACAACCTGCATAGTTATGTTGTCCATTTAGGACTGATTGTGAATGTAAAACATAAAATCATACAAATCTGTACACAATCTTAATATAACTTCATTAACAGATATTTTAGATATCCATGAAGTGAACTGTACATTGGATTTTAATTTCCATAATTTCTACTCATGTACTTTATTACATGTTAAATTATTAGGCAGATATTGTTGAAATAGCTCCTTCACTTATGCCTGCACCAACAGGAATCAAGTCTGCAAATCTGTCTTCATAATTGCCGACGCAAACATGGTATGTAGACAGTTTTGATAAAAGTTTCTTCATATCTCTTAGAGTGGAGAAAAATGCAGGTAAACCAATCCAGAATTCATGATTTGGTCCAAAGTCACATCGATGTGCATATATTGCTGCTGTAAAGGATGGCTTGATGACTACTGAAAGCTGGACTGAGCCTACGTCAGTCATAAAACTGCACAATAGTAATGTTTTCACGCTTGTTTCTTGCAATTGTAAAATTGCCTAGCTCATCTACATGCTGAAACAGTTCCTTTTTTAATGTTAAATATTGCTGGTATCGCAGGATGCCATCAACAAATTCATCTACATTGTTGTCCGGATGATATTGGTGAATTGTGTCCAAAATAACAAAGAATTCATCAGCCGAACAACCATCAGAATCTGTGGCTTCTTCCAGGCATGGGGTATCTGTGGGTTCATCGGTGAGGTCAATGAAGAATGACTTCCATGCTTTGTCCCACAGTGCATCTCTTGAACTGAAAATGGAGATACACAATATTAATATTAAAAAAAAAAAATTGAAGTGTTCTAAATAGTTGTTAAAATTATGCAATAGTTGGTTGCCAATGCTCTTTCAAACAAGGTCTAGTTACTTACTCAAGATGGGAATATTGTACTTAATAATTTACACTATACCTTTGTTTTTACATAAGAAAAGAAACAATATTAATATTTGATTATACAATTGCTTTGATATTTTAAACTTATTTCTGCAGGTACCAGATATACAAATACCAATAAAATAAATAAATACCAATAACTACAAAATATCAACACAAAATTACTCATTTTCTTTCAAAGACATCATTTGTGAATTTCTTACTTCCATTATTACTTACCTGCAATCGTCAAGAACAGTTGATTGAACTGATGAATAAGAATGTCAGAGAGAGAGGAAAAACTGACACCTTGTTGTCTCGAACCCCTCTTTGAGTAGCCCTTCCGGCAACTGCTGATGAAAACTTTCTTATTTTTCCTTATCCTGACTCATGCTTATTGCTTGTCTTCTTCTTCTTGCGAACATAGTGGAACACATGTATCTCCCAATTGAAGTTCCCTTCAATTAAAAAATCACTAATTAGTACTCACCACGAGTTACCTCCCTTCCACAAGCGCGGGAACGAGGGCGCCACCTGAACCCATGTGCCTCACTCTCTCCTTCTTCGCCCAGTGAGCTGGACGTGAGAGCGCCTGTGTCTCCCAACACACTATATCCTTTATTTATATTTAGTTTAGTACCTCTTATATTCAGTTATAGAGGTGTAACTATTATCCTTATTCAACTTGCATTGATTATTAGTCGTGTTTCTGCTGTTTTATTCACGGTTCGCCGTGTTTGTTCAGCAGTTTACGTTAATGAGAATCTGCACAGGTTGTAAACTACGTTATTCCGCTACCGATCCACATTTAAAATGCCCTAGTTGCATTACTCCATGTTCTATTGTTTCTCGTTGTAAATTATGTATTAATTTACCAATTTCTGCCTTTGATAAATATTTATGTTCCGTTTTGAGACGGAAGGCAGATAAATCTCGCAAACATGGCTAATAGATCCGAAGCTATTATACCCTGTCAACTGTTGACTGACGACCCGCCACCGGCTGGTGGCATGCCGGAGTTTCCCTCGGGGGATAAGCGTGGGACGCAGTCCGCTATGTCCAAGAAGCGACCTGCATCTCAAGACATTCCGTCTTCTTAGTCTAAGACTAGGAAAGCGTCCACATCATCTCAACGTACGCTTCGAACCCCCAGGTCCACAGCTTCGTCAAAAGGGAAATCTACGAAAACTACAAATAATTTTGACTCCGATATTCTACCTGTCTCAGAATTATGTTTATATGATGATGACATTCCGATTATCATTCCAGATGTACGTCATAAGAAACGTCCAGTATCTGCTACCGTCACTACAGCGCAGATAAACACGCAACCAGAGATGCCTACGCTGACGCCTGAGTTTACGATTGAGGGTCCCGTCACTTTCACAGAGAGGCCACCCTCAACGCCAGCGCAGACTGTCCCAGACGACCTGGTTAACCAAATCATGAGACTGATGGAGGACCGTTACGGTTTACAGAGGCCCCAGAGCCCAACACTTAATAAGTCATACAGGGCCCCAGAGCCCGCCTTGGCTTCGCGTAGGGCCCCAGAGCCCACAAACGCGCCTCCGCGAAGGGCAACCCAGCCCGTAGCGATCACTTCGCAAAGGAAGTCCCAGGCCGCCTCCGCGAAGGAGCTAGAGCCTATCCAGTTGCGAGGGACATCGCGGAGAAGGAGCGCTTCGCCGAGCCCACACCCTGTAGAACACAGAGGTCGTTCGCGAAGCAAGCGCTCATATGTCGATTCGGACACTGACTCGATACATTCGCGAAGGTCGCGAAGGCTAAGTGGCTCCATATCTACCTCGCCCAGAAGATTTAGAAGAGCTTCGCGAAGTCCCCAGCGTTCGCCGAGGATGTCTCCTCCAAGGTCTCCTTACACTAGCCACTCGTCAGTCCGTTCACCACAGTCCTCTCATAGAT